TAGTATTGTTCTACTTTTTATTACATATTATTAGTCTTTTAATCTACTCATAAAATTAATTTACAAATTAAACTTTATCATAAAATAACAGCAAATATAATGTTCATCACTGTGATGGTTCATCTTCATTGTCAATTTGACTGGATTTAGAATCACTTATGAGTTACACTTCTGGGCCTATCTGTGAGGCTATTTCCAAAGAGATTTGAGTGAGGAGAGACAACCCACTGTGAATGTGGATGGCAGCATCCCACGGGCTGGGGTCCCAGGCTGTTCTTGTTTTGAATGAGAAATGTCCCCCACAGGCTCAAGTATTGGACACTCGGTTCCCAGTTGGCGTTGCTGTTTAGGGAGGTCATGAAATCTTTAGGAGGTATAGCCTTGCTGAGGAAGTCTGTCACTAGGGGTGGGCTTTGAGAGTACAGAGCCTTGCCCTCCTTCTGGTTTACTCTGCTTTGTGTTTGCAGTTGAAGATGTGAGCGCTCAGCTTTCTGTTCCTGCAGCCACACCTGCTGTTTGCTGCCATGCCTCCTCCCCATGATGGATTTTTAACCTTCTGGAACTGTAAGCCATAAGAAACTCTTCCATGAGTTGTTCTTGGTCATGGTGTTTTCTCACAGCATCAGAAAAGTCACTAATACACAAACTGAATAAAAGAAAAAGGGAGAAAGCCAAGTACCAGTGTTCATCTCTCTGCTTCCTGACTGAGGATGCAATGTGACCAGCCAATTCACATGTCTACTGTCATGCAATTTCCGCCATGATGGACTGTGAGCCCAAACAAATTCTTTCTCCTATAGGTTGCTTTTACCTAGTATTTTTGTCACAGCAACGAGAATAGTAACTAATGCAATTATTATCCATGGTTTCAGGCATCTACTGGAGGTATAGCCTGCATTCTTCCATAATGAAGCAATATAACAATGTTCTTTTTTAAAAAATTAAATGAAGAGCTGGAGAGATGACTCAGCAATTAAGAACGCTGGCTGTTCTTGCAGAAGACCTGGGTTCAAATCCCAGCACCCACATGGCAGCTAACAATTGTCCGTAACTCCAGTTCTAGGGAATCCTATGGCCTCTTCTGTCCTCCATGGCCATTGCACAACACAGGCATATAACAATGTTCTTTTTTAAAAAATTAAATGAAGAGCTGGAGAGATGACTCAGCAATTAAGAACGCTGGCTGTTCTTGCAGAAGACCTGGGTTCAAATCCCAGCACCCACATGGCAGCTAACAATTGTCCGTAACTCCAGTTCTAGGG